ACCTCCTCTCAGCCACCCCCAAAAAAGAAGGTGTGGGGGGGGGGGGGACGACCCACACCATGAAACCTTGAAAACAACTCCAATCTGGAACACACCGGTGGCCTCACTTGTCACTGAGTAAGGGATTCAAACAAAGACCCCTTAGAGGAAGAATGGATCCACTCTAGGTCCCCTGTTCTCTGCAGCCTTCCCTTGCGGAAACATAGTAAGTACACTTTCTCCTTTCACAGGTCCTAAGGAAGGCAGCCACGGCCATTCCAACACACTGTGCTCCTTCAGAGAGGAGCAAGACTGTTCATACTTACAAAGTGATAATGACGACTACCAAACATTTCACAAGCACTCACTGGAGACTCAAACAGATTATCTGTCTACAGGGATTATCGAGCAGTTTAAGAGAGAGGTAAATACACTGCCACACATTAGCCAACATTCAGATGTTAAAATGAAATAATCTAGTCACAGTTAATAACGTAAATGAACTACTCAAAGCACCACATGAAAAAACAACAGCTTGAGAGATTTTCAATTAAGACAGTATGTATACTTCACTCCAGAGCAATCTGACTCAAGCAGAGAGGATACCTGGACATCAATTTAAGAATAACCTACTAAAAAGGGGCCATCAGGTGGTGTGGTGGTTGGTACATGTGTGCCCACTATCTTGAGAGGAAAGGGAGAAGGAATTGGGGTGTGGCCATCCCACCTGAGGGGTGATTCTTCATTTTCTGTCTCTCCAGCAAGCGCACATGCCCTATAGCAAACTAAATCTTTTTAATTTTTTTTTAAAGGAAGTGGTACCTTGGTTTGGTTTGGAGAGTAGCAGGCACTGTCCATATAGGAGAAAGGAGTGCTAGCTAGTGATGACAGAAAAAACTTTCCATATCACAAATTACATGTAGTGGCACGAGTGTAGAAAGCTTAAAAGCAGCCACTCTTAGCTACCCAGAGACTGTGCTTATCCAGAATAAATTATCCCCTAACAAGGCGTGCCTGCTAAACTATTGGCATAGTATAGCCAACAGGTGAGGTGCTCGTGGAATGTTTCTGCCAGTGGCGACCCTCCAACTCTCCACAAATACAACCTTAGACTTGTTTGGTATGTGCAACATAATCTAGTAGTATCTATTGGACAAAATCTACTCATTCAAAAGGTAAAACTTCAGCCAGCACACCTCCTAATATCCAGCACACAAGCACAACTGTGCTAATTTCTTACATGCTCCCGAAAAACTGTTGGGCTACAATGGTGAAATAGTGTTTCTCCCTTTGTCAATCAACAAACCAAAATTTCACAAACAAAAAGGACCTAAGGTTATTTGGGATCTGATTATTACCAGGAGAAACAGAACATCTGTTAAAACCATATATGCTATTTGAAAAGTATTGCTGGGTTCTGAATGTCAAATAAATGTCCTTAAATGATAACCTAAATTAAGACATCACTTGTGCTGTCCCCACACCAAATCCTCTTGACAACAAGCAAGCATTTATTTCTTAGATCAGTTGAATTACAGATGCCATAGTACTTCTATGGTTGTGGAACAGGGAATGAGGTAGGCAAATTCACCTTTTTAAAAGGAAACTAAAAGAAAAGCAGATAGGCCAACAGTGTGAGCCATCCCAAATAAAAATAGTGCTCTGTAAGAACTGCTCTGGTGGCTCTTGCCACCAGCCCCAACCCAAGCCCACGTGAAAGGGAGTGGCCAATCTCCATGGAGAGCTACACATTCTCCAGCCTTCCACTCCTGTGAGCCATGCAGGATTGCATAGGACAAACTGCACCCGAAGAACATTTCAAGAAGTCAGATTTAGCACCACATTCCTTGAAAGAGACATCTCTCAATTTTATCAATTATGAACACTGAGGAGTAGAAAGAAAAAAATTCATCCAAGGTTAGGTTGACGAGTGGCTGAGTTCTGTCTGGCCTCTCTATGGGCTCCTCTTATAATGGTGTCACCAAACTAGTCTTCTTGCCTTGCAGAGCCCAGCCTGGTGGGGTGTGTGTGTTGTGGCTTGAGCACAGCATACTAGAGATGGAACACCAAAGCCAACCCAACTTCCTTGAGAACCCCACTGCCCTCATTAGCCTTAATAACATCTCACTCAGGCAAGAGGACTACTTAGTTGTCCTTAAAGGAAAAGGAAAGAATGCCTTCTTGTTTCCAATGCCTTCTTGTGCCTACGGAACACTCTGTAAGGAATAAACCCTCATGGCAATATTTAACAGTACTGATCAATGAAGCGCAATGACTTGCCACAGTTACACTGCTTAATAGCGCCATACCACACACCACAAATAGCTCTCATTTAACGTGCAGAACTTTCAACGTGTCATGGAATCAATTCTTCACTATGAAGCTGCCAGTCTGAGTCTCCAAAAGTTTCCTAACAAATCTTAAATAAGCAATTACCAACCTTCACAACAGTAAAAAATTAATATTTAGAGTACATAGCCAGTAACTTTTGGTGTGTACGACTCAAATGAAAACCTATTAACTATTACCAAAACAATCCTCCCAATACAACTACTAAACCAGAGTAAACAGTGGCCCCAGACTCCCTCTGAATTTCAGCTCCAAAAAAGGTTAAGACTTAATTTCTTTTTTTTCCCCTTTTTTTGGAGAGGTTTTCGCTATGCGTGCGCTCGCCAGACAGAGAGAGAGAGACACACAGAGTCAGAAAGCGAGAAATCACCCCCCAGGGAGTGATGGTCACGTCGCAATCCCCTCTCCTCCATTCTCCTCTCAGGATCTTGGGCACGCACGCACACGTGCCCGGCGTGAGTTTTAAGCCACCGGGTCTGGGACGCGAACCGAGGTCGGCTATGTGGGAGTCCAGCGACATAGCCATTACGCTAACTGCTGGTTCCCAAGACTTAATTTCTAATGGAAAAAAATGTCTTCTACTAATACTTTATTTCTTAGGTTTAATGTAGCTTACAATTAACATAGTTCCTTAAAATGTACAAAATGTCTTCCACAAACTGCCCATGAGTTCTTTGTAACGTTGCCTTTATATTTCCTTACCATCTCCCCTGCCTTGGCCATTTGTTAGTTGAAGAATCAGCAACTTCAAGAATTTAGTAACTCTTGGGACCAGCAGTTAGCGTAATGGCTGTCATTGGACTCCCACGTAGTTGACCGCGGTTCGAGTCCCGGACCTGGTAGCTTAAACTCAAGCCGGGCGCATGTGCGTACGTGCCCAAGATCCCAAGAGGAGAATGGAGGAGAAGGGATTGTGGTGTGGCCAACCCCCTGGGGGGTGATTTCTTGTTTTCTAGCCCCCCAACAAAAAAAACCTCTCAAAAAAAAAAAAAAAAAAAAAGAATTTTCTAACTCTTAGCAAGCCTTTCACTGAGTGTGCTCTTTATCAGAATTCCTTACTATTGGTGATGCCATGGTACTGTTATTATAATAAAAGGAGCCTTCTCCATAGGACCTGTTTTCCAGTCTCTACATTCAAAAGGTCACCCTATATACGTACACTGAGTAGGCATCGATT